CCAGCCAACCCGAGTCCCATTTTGAGCAAGGGTGCCGAATCGACCTGGTGGTCTGTTCCCCATGCGCGGGACGCACTTGACATTCCGCGCATTCTCCATTTTTGCATAGGGGCCTCCTGAGTCCATGTTTTATTGCCTCTTGTGTTGATTGCGTGTTGTTGAACTCCACCGGTCCTGATGGCCAGTGGAATTTCCGGATGTGCGCCGCAGTGGAAGATGAAACAATGTAAGGGCTCTGCCTACTAATGCATGGGGGCCCTCCAGTAGTACATAACAACCGTAGATGGTCACATATCCATGATCGCAGCATCCAACCCCCATTGATGGCGCACCGATCATCCCACGTGTCGATGGTCGCCATGGGAACCACGCATAACCCTCTCTCACATTCGTCGGCAGCTGGTCCACATCGACAGCCTCAGCTCCACTTTGTTTGAGAGTACACTGAACGATCAAGAGATTCCCCCTTGCGTGGACTGGCTCCTCACAAAACGCCATTTGGCACAGCGATGATCGCCACCAAAAATGGCAATGGCAGTGGAAGGACGTCTCAAACGGGCAGCAAATGACAAACCGCCGGCCAACATATACAAATGTGCTCGTAGGCACGCCTGAAACTGCCATCCAGGGATCCACAATCAATCGCAGCAACTCCTCAAAAGTCGATGAAGTCAAAAACGTCCGTTAGGTCCACTAGCCATGCCAGCCCGTCCACAGCGCAACAGCGCATGACGCAGCAGGGCTTCCTTCCGCCTTGCCATGGCCGTGCAGCGATGATGCTTGGCCAATTCTGGCCGGCAGCAAGATCGCGCTCAAGCTGTTGGTCGTGAACGGCAAAAGATGCGGCTGAAGCCGGCCCAGAATGGCCGCGGCCTTCGAAAAAGTCGTGCACTATTACGCTCAGGCTATGTCGGACGTGGCGCGCACAGCCAGGAGACTCAAGCAGCCAGGCCATGTGTCTAGACCGCCGCGCGAGGCACAAAGAAACCACGCGTAGTCGTTGTTACAGCTGCCATGCTGAATTCAACAATGCATCGTCCCTTTATGGCGCTCTTCGCACCCTCCGTACTTAGAAACCCCCCAAGGCGTCCGCATTTCCCACAGTACGCCCTGCGAGGGAAAGCAAATTTTCATTCCCGGAACACTCCCGTCACACCCCGTTTCACCGCAATTCGATACGGTACACCCCACTTCCCGCGATCAGCAGCCACAGAATGCCCCGCGGATCATATTCCCATCACACAGCCATGTATCGTGCAACACGATTCAGAACAGTTCTGAATTCTTGGGCGTGGTGACCCTTGAGTCACAACATATTACTATTAGGTTGGAGCGGGCTTCTTTCCTCTCGGTTCCTTGGGGACATTGAGATATTCTAGATTATTTGGGTGTTTTGGCAGATTATATTGCCTTTGGGATGTTCTCAGTGTGCTCAGGGTTCTGGGGATTTGCATTTGTTCGGGTCGCCAATATATGATATGAAATTTATGGCAAACTGGCGCGACCCGTGAGCCTTAAAAGGTGGCTATGGAGTGGCGAATATCCACAAAAGTAGAAAAAGAGCTTAGTCTTTTCCGAAAGGACTAACTCCAGCATAAAAGGAGAACACAGAGACGACAATGCAGCGAAACTATGGATATCTCGATGTGCGCCTGATTCCGCCAATATACGGGACACGATGCTGACGCCACAGAAGGTCCTGCATCCAAGAAAGTGACGCGATGCATTGGGCCCCGAGCGCCACCCCTCTGGATGTGCGCGCTTGGCTCACGAAATTGCGCCCTCACTCGGAAACTGCTGCCGACGATGCAACACTGCTAGAAGGATGGATCTATACCAATCGGCCGCAGCAGTTCGCGTCGATTGGCTCGCACCGGCGATCGGGATCGAAGGGCTGCGAGCACCGATGGCAATCGGTGGGGCCGGCGATGGCTGCCACCCGTGGCGAGTTTTCATCGATGGATGCACTGGCCGGGTGGAGGCCTCGAAGGCTGCGTGGGATTGCGACTTGCAGAATGCGCAGACTGTGAGAGGCACCAGCGCTGGTGGTGGGGAAACGCAGCGATAGTCTCATGGGGACAAGTGACGGGCTTCACGGGGGCAGATGATGTACTGCCACCGGATTATTCACAGTGGCCGACAAGGTAGCCAACGCAGGCGTCCAGAGGGCTGAGATTGTATGACCCAAACGCCTTCCCAGACGGAGACACTTTGCCAGTGTCGGCCAAGCTTTTCATCAAACGTGGACAACTGGAACTGACCCAAGGTATTGATGCGTGCTTCGACGTCTGCAAGGCAATCTATGCAATTGATGACTACGCCACCAAGTTTCAAGTAAGATGACGGTCAATCTGTGTGATTGATGTCATTGTGCAACTGGACATTTGAGGAAATTGCTGCGAGCCTGTGCTGAACACATTGGCAAGTCGGAGATTTGAAGTGCTGCTCTAATTGATTGAGGAGCTCTCAAGATGCTTGTTGGAAATAGTTTTGACTTCTCAGTGGCGGTTTGCGCCCAAACTGCCAAATCTGACGTGGATGTTCAGGCTGACCAGTGCACAAATGACTCGGGGCAGACTAGGGCGAGGTGTGATGTCACCTCTTTTCAAATTTTCTGTATCATGCAGATGTATTTTATGTGTTTCTGTGAGGCTTGACAGCCCAATAGGGATGCGACCTGCTGCACACAGAAACATCAGTAATCTGGTCATAATTTGGGTCATGAAAGTTTTAGACTTTTGTTGCCAATGCACCGGGTGAGTGTATCAGTCCTTTAATTCAATCAAGAAAGATCTTTGAGCAGATTCGTGGCATGGTTGTCACGTCACTGCACTGTTTGTGAGCAGTACATTATTATACATGAAAAAAGCAGGTGGAACCGTAGGTGTGAGCGAATATTCCTGTGATTTTTTCAGGTAGCAGCACACATTCGGTTGTGGTGCTGAACGTCTGCTGGAAAGATGACGAAGGAGCGAAGCCATGTTCACCTGTGCGTTCCAAAGGCGTTATGTGAGGAGTAGAAGAGCATGTTGTGAGGTTTGCGGAAGCAAGCTCAGATGTGATATGAGTACTAGAGTATGAGGCGCAAGGAGACTGAGAATGATGTGAACTGCCATGTTTCGACGTGACCTGATAGAATTTACATAAGATTCGATTGCACTGCCCTTTCTGACGTTGTTAGGGTATTTGGGAGTGGCTGCTGTGCTGTGTTGGGGCTGCGTGCTGCAGTGCCCAGTGTCCGAGGGGCTGAACGGACGGACCATAGTGCACGGACCCGTGCACACAGGTCGTGGGGGGTAGCCTGATCAGATCAGCTAGCTTCGCAACCAAGAGGTTGAGGTCTCCTGCGCTTGAATTTTGGCGGAGCGCGCTCATTGCAATCCCGCCGTTCCGAGTGCATGCGTTTCCAAGCGACTCTGAGGGAATCGAAGCGGCATCCCGCGTGTTTTTCACTCAAGGTCCCGATGCCTGCGTGAGCCTGGATCTGCAAGGCCTGGAGGCCCGTTTAAGCCAGGTCTTGTTTGGCGAAATCGCTGGTGAAGCGTTCGCGACAGAGTTGTACGACCTCAGATTTGACTTCTTCGATGCAAATCCAATCGATCCAGAACGCGGGACAGGGGAAGCCTTGGCGCTTTGGGGAATTTCGCCCGGGTGGTTGCCATGTCAGACGGCCACCTTTTGTGCATTCAAGTGTTTTCTTGAAGATTACATGGGCCCACTGAACATTTGGACAATTAATACAATCAGGTGTTGATATAACAAATGTAATGTCTGTTTGCAATTGTCTTCTAGAGCTATTCGCCTCTCCTGCCCACCACGCAGGGCCTAGGAGTGCACCCGCGATGCCACCCCCTCAGGTGCCTGCGGGGTGGTGCAACATGCCGCCTCCACGCCCCGCACGGCTCTGTCTCATCGTGCTCCGCAGCAGACCGAGACGGGGGTAGCCCCTCTCCATCGCAAACGGCAGGACCGTTCATAAACTTTATGAGCATGTCACTTTATGACATAAAGAACATAGCTCGGCCAAATCATCGCCAAAACAACGTCTATTGACGCAGTTCCTTAAACAAACACCTCTTAAAAACATCTCTCAATGGAATAGGGATGCTACAATCATGTTACAGAATTGACTTGCAACCGATTGATGCTTTCAAAATTCAAATTTTGATCATTCTTAACAACACTAATTCTCTGAATGTATGCCCCCCCCCTGATTGATAATTTGGAGGCCTTCCTGCCTCATTGTGCACTATCCTGTTGAATGACGATCAGATTAGTGAAGATACGGAAGCTGTCGACACTCCCTTTCCCCACTTCTGGACCTCATGGGTCGCCAGTTGAGCAGCACCATTAAAATACTAATTTTTCTGATGATTCCCATTATTGGTGATTCGAACAGTGTGCTGTCTTCATTAACGTCGAGCCAGCTTCCTGTGAAGATCTTTCCGAGTGGAGTGGAAATCTTTCACGCACGTCATCGCCTTCAGCACTTTGGCACTGCAGCCACTGTGCCTGGAAAGATGCTTTCCAACAAAGTACTGAGCGCCAAGTCTTGTTCATGCTTTGTCGCAAAGTGATCTGATTGTTATGTGCATGACACCATGACCAAAAAAATCCATGATATGCAACAGTTCTTGAACAAAACTGCCGGGCAAACCCTTTGCACCCTTCAGGCGACGAGGGACGCAGCAGCAGGCAACCAGTCCGTACCAATGTGGCTTTAAAAACTTTGCGAACAAATACACTCGACAAATTTCCGCCGAGTCCTGTTTCCCCACCATCCTCATCTACCCCTGCAGGTCGTAAGCGCACGTTCCGAAGACCAATTGTCAGCAAAGTGGAGATCAGCGGAAGAGGGACATGCTGTACCAGGCAGTGCAAGATGATGCAGAAGGGGCTGTTAACTGTATGAAGTGCAGATTCATTTTCTTTCGTTTTCCCATCAAAAACCCGCCATCCTCAACGTAGCTTTATGCAGGCCGCCAGGTTCGCCTTGCCATTCACCCGCCACCAGCCTCATGCTTGCGCCTGATGGCTTCGTACTCTTCGATCTGCGCCTCCGACAGTGAGGGCTGTAGGTTCGACAGGGCATCCAGCAAGTCGGTCTGGCACACCTCCAGGCTGAAGTCTGGCAGCTCACCAAGCTCAAATAGCCTAAGCACAGACGCCAGAGCAGAAAACACCCTGAATCTCCATCCCAGAAGCCAAAAGCAAGTTAATGTCGAGGCAGTGCACGCAACGTCACAGGGGAAGTGCACCAGGCGACACTTCTTGCCCTGCGGATGGATAATGTTTTACTGAAGAAAACGGTGGTTGCTGTGTTTAATGTTTGATGTTTAATCACCAATCTCCATTGCTTGCATACAAACCAAGCACGAATCTCCTGCTGTCTCTGCAACCAATAGATTATGTGGAACAGCAAAGCAGATGCTAGTCTCTGATAAATTACAAGCATCCCACAAGGACACCCACCTTTGTTGTGAGTCTCCCGCCTCTTCGATAACGCGTTTCATGGCCACCATCCAGGCGTCTGCGCACAGCGCGTACAGGTCGGCGCCTGTGAACCTGGCAGGGCAGGCTTCCGCCACTACAGAGAGATCCACATCAACTGCAAGCCTGAATTTTCTTGTCAGCGCCTGCAGCACTTTCAATTTCGAGCCTGGATCCTGGGGCACAGCAACAAACTTCAAGAGGAAGAAAGCAGGCAGCGCGAGTCTCTTTCTTCGATTTGAAATCTGCGCTGACACTGCCCCGAACAGCATCAGTACTGTTCCAATTGTTAAACATGTCACACCAAACGAGCAACACGAAATATGCAACATACACAATGCGTACGAACATCACAACGGCGATGTCAAAACTTTTCGTAAACAGTGGTATGCATCCCCAGGAAGCAGTTTAACGGAAGCTTCTTTGCAACAATGGTGGAAAAGATGCCATGGACGTCTCCAAATCCACGAGAAAAGGTAGAAGAACGGGGTACTGCGGCAGGAGTTTGATGAGTCATCAAGAGCGAAACACACGGGGCATCCATTCCTGAATACATCTTCAACATGCTCAACATCTTGCAGGTGACCCAAAACATTATCTACTCTGCAGGCTATCTTCTGGCACAGGTGTTAGTGTTGTTATCTGGCAGCACAGATGCCAATTCCCCACTAGCAAGCACTCTGACTCCGTCCTGTGTTGGCAGCTCTCCAGATTTGGTGACTGTGTGACCAGGTGTGATTGTCCCACCTGCGGCAGCCCGACATACACCAGGGTGTCCATACGGCCCGGCCTCAACACCGCAGGGTCGATGAGGTCTGGCCGGTTGGTGGCGCCAAAGATGAAGATGTCTGTGTTGTCATCTGTCATGCCGTCAAGCTCTGCAAGGAACTGCGATACGACTCTATCCATTACACCACCTGCACACACAAGTCACATTTCCGCTAGGAGGGCCCTATTGGATAGCATACTGCTTAGAACCTACATATGCTGTGGATGAATGTATGCAAGCCTAACAATGCCTGAAAAATGCAATACACTCTCTTGCTCAGAAATGCCAGCACTCTCAAAGTCACCTTCTATGACATGCACAACCTGGGGTTTAAACATCGCCATGACTCCAACTGAATCGGCTGGCAATCATATTTCGGCCAATGCAGTTGTGATTTCTTGACTCGACTTCTCCAGTCGTCGCCTCTCAGCTAAGAAATTTAGAATGTTTCAGAGGGCTTGACCCACAATTTCTTGCAAGTCGAATGCTGCAGAATGGATATTCTCTTCCTGCTGGTCAACAATTGATGCAAAAGCTCCTGAACGGACAACAGTAGGAAGAACTCCATAACACCAAAAGCATAGGAACACAGGTGTCAATGCGATCAATTGCACTTGATGGAATGGACAAAACCCAAGGCTGGTGAGACATAACGGATGGCGCTGCCAAAGAGATCCACAAGAGTATCTCACCCACCTGAATCCCCAGCTGCCCCTCTTGATGGAGCAAGAGCATCCAACTCATCAAAGAACACAACACATGGCCTGGCCCTTCTTGCACGAGCGAAGGTCTCCCTCACCAGTCTCTCACTTTCCCCAATATACATGTTCAATAGCTCAGGTCCCTTTACGGACAGGAAGTTGATGGAGCACTCTGTGGCGATGGCCTTTGCCAGCAGTGTCTTTCCCACACCGGGTGGGCCATAGAGAAGGGCGCCAGAACGCCGACGAAGACCAGAGCTGAACAGCTCCCTGCACATACCGGTATTTTGTGTTTTCGGATCTCCACACAAAACGGCCAATTCTTGCCTTCCAAAAGTTAAGGAATGTCCTCGCATGTGAATTTCAATTTCTGTTTCAAAATCGTTTCAAATTTTGAAACAACTTCCGAAACCAACACTTTATTAACCAACTGCTGGTCACTGAATAGAAGCTACTCAACAATTGACACAGGGCTTTGAAATGACCTGAGGGACAAGATCAACAGTGATATAGCAATTGACCAGAGCAACTACATTTCCCTCTTGAAGTGCACTGGCCGGAGCAAAACAGCCATATACTCCAAGCCGCAACAACAAACAGTGACAGCTTGTGATCACAACACGCCTGTGGGATGTTGCATGAGCATACAATGCCTGCAGATGGCCAAGAACTCCCAGGACTGCATTTGCCTGACCAGTGGATAATAGGACCTTTATGTGTTGTAAGCAATGCCTGGTGCCAGCAGCAAACGACCAAAACATTGCTTCCGGTGCTCTAAAACTGAATGCAAGCATCTGACGACTCTGAACCTGGCTGCCCCCTGAGTCATCGCCACACCTGTGCTTCAATGGGAGCTCCACTGTGTCAAGGATGGCCTTTTTGGCCTCTTCCAGTCCTCCCACATCCTCCCAACTCACATCTGGGATCTTGGGCGCCCCCACTTCTAAGGCAACGTGCTCCCTAATCCTCTCCAGGGCTTTGTCCACGTGGTGCTGCTCAGTGTACCCATGCACCACAGCAATCCCCATGGCCGCAGCTTCCTGTTCACTGCCCATCGAATGCCCACTTGAGCCCATGGGCACAGCGTCCGGCAGTGTCTTTCTACGCAGAGATGCCGTGACTGGGGGAACAGGAGTGTGAAGGTTTCCCTGGCCAACCATTACAGCATGCCTGCATGGGGGCTCCAGGCACGACATGCCCGGTACATGCCTCCACACAGAAGATGATGAGCCTTCACCTGTGTCCCAGGAGGGGGCCGGCACTGCAACATGAGTGCACATTACCACTGGTCGATTTGTGATGCTCCTTGCATTCAGATGTTACCATGCTTTCCTATTGCAGCATATTACATCACACTGAAGAGTCCAGGTGGGAGTATCAAAAATGGAGATTTTCAAAGTTCCTTAGTCTTCACATTGATCCACAGCCTCAGAACGTGTACCCTGGGCAGTGCAACTGCCAATGTCCACTGGGAAACACAATACAGACAGACAAAGAAAAGGACAAGCAACGACCCAGACACATCTGAGCATGAGTGCTGCTGCTTGTACGGACAAAGTACTGCACCTGTGCACGCTGTTAGGGGGTTCAGGGGCCCTGGGGTGCTACAGCTACAGAGCATATATGGAGTATATACAGAGTACATATAGTGTTCTTTTCAAGGTATTTTCGTTCAATGCTGGCATGACAGGCCACTTGACCTGCAAATCGCATGTTCGCTGCATTGAAACCCATTGGAATACCTTGCAACGGAAAATCCAAACAGCTAGCGGTGAGAGTATGTTTCCGGTGGCAGAGATATCAACCAAGAGTGCCAGCTTGTAATGACTACCCCGATCACTTCGTCTCTGGACATAAGATATCTCAGTGTTGAGCCGCAATAGACATGACAAGGATTCCTCCCATCACAGCAGTGTTCTGGCAGATTGCTCTCCCCATCGGCACTTCAATCTTTCAAGTCAACAAATGTTGCCAGCATTAGGGAATCCCAACTGGTACTGTAGCTACAATGGTGCAGGACAGCTGCATGCTCACAAAACACCTCGAAAATTGAAACCCACAGCAATTTGGCCACCACACTTCCACAATCAACTAAACAACAAACTGGATCCTTTGCAGGGTGCCTGGAGAGTACACCGGTAGAGTACTGCAACCTGACTGGCTGACTACCATGCGCTTCAATAATATGACCGAGCGCACTCAAACCCTTCAAACAGCCATAAGACTGGAAAGAAATGAACTATATGGCAAAGGCTGGGCATGTGCAGTGGGTAGCATGTCCTCTCAAGGAAGCATTTTCAAATGTGGTGCTTGCGCCATCACCACTGCTCCTCATGCAACTGGCCGTGCCACCGATGCGCAACAAGTCTTGGTGCTGGAGAGCAAGCTGTCGACAAGTGCTTCGCAGTGATGCCACAGCAGGGTTTGGGGAGCCACGGTTGCTATTCTTGGCAAAAGTGCTCCTTAGCTGCTGAAGTGGCTGTGAAGAAACTCATAAGCAATCTGATAAGCCATGCTCTGGAGATGGTGTCCTTCCATGCGCAGGCACCATTAGAAAATCACACCTTTGATACACCGACCTCGTTTTGAACATTTCAACAGAAACAGCAGGACCAGAAGCCAGATTGGTGATGGGTTTCTCCACAACACACCCCAGCGGCAAAAAACATCTGCACTAAAGCGACCCAGGCATCAACGCCCAACTGCGACATCACTGCAGGTTTTGCCATATATCCACAGCTTGCACTATTCAACAAGACTTGGCAGGCAGCACGGCCAATTGCACAAGGGCTAGATTTGGTGAGGCAGTGGACCTGCAAATCAACCCGCCTGTCGCTTAGGGATTGCAATTCAATTAATTAATCTTTGCCTGTCGCAATTTTCTGCTGGGCAACCTTCCCAGGCTACCTTAAAGAGCTCCTTGGGGCACGGACAAGTGCATCGCAAACTCCAGGCACAAGAGGGTAGCTGAGGGTACCAGAGGGTACAAGAAAGCACATTGCCTTCTCCCCTTGTTGTTCTCGTTTCATGCAACCAGCCGTTTCGCTGCATTCAGAACCCGCAAGACAAAGTTTACGGGCATTAGAGCACACTCTCGGAGAAGAGAAAATGAGAGGCCAATCGTAGAGCAGGATTTCTCTGGCGCTCTTACCCATAGAGCATAGATCGGCCCTAAATGGGCACATCCGATTGGAATCTGTGAAGTCCGTTGATGCTGGCCACAAACTAGAGCATGCTGCTGCATCAGGTAAAGCAAGAACAACAACAATGACAACGATCCTACCGGGCAGACAAGAGCAGAGAAGTTGAGGACGTCTTACAGGACGCACCCTGAACATCTGGCAAATGCTCACCAGTGCCATCAGGATGCCTTGCACTGAGATGAGAATTGGATGCATCGAAGTGTGCAGGGTCATCAGCTTCCCCTTCACCAGGACAGGCAGCTGAACAAGCTTTGAATGAAGCTGTTGGGACCTCACTGAAGTTCAGCTGGGCATCATAACCTTGAGATATTGTCAGCACTTTTTCAGAGTTCAGGCCCCTGGCCTGCAAGTCATCCACTTGCGGCAGCAGGTCACTTTCAACAGCTGCAATGGTGGAGGCAATCGTTGCCAATGCCTTCAAATCCTGAGCACAGCACGGCACACAAGTCAGCAATAACTCGTCACTCACAGCATGCGTCCAAAAGTGACAGATCCATTTCATTTCATTGCCATTGACATGACTATTGTCACAGTGCAGTCCTGAACACCCAACCGTGCAGGAAGCAGCACATATTTTCACTTCTCAAAATGTGACGAGTAACTTCGCCATGCACATTCAGCCATGTTGGCACAGGCACAAGTGCCATGGCCTGCTTTGTAATTCCAGCACTGGATAACCCTCAATCCTCTGAAATATCTCTTTCTGGGCGTGCACCTTATAAATGCATACAAGGGCGACTTGGCACGGTGCTTTGCTTCCAGCATGTGTACCACCAATATCTATGGAGTCACAAGTGGAGGAGCAAGGGAGTGGGCACGTGTCATTGTGCGTTGGTACAGTACACAAAGGTGTTTCATTGCATGGATTCTTTTTTGTTCCAACTCTGTGCAATGAGCGGCACCACTCATTACTGTGGAAAGCACTGGCCTGTTTTTCGTGCTTTTCAGTCCTTCTGGGTATCTTGGGGACTATCAAGCTGAGGTGAAAAGAACAACATTCTTGAACACTCTGTGTCGATCCAGCTATCCCTGGCAGCATTTAGCAGGTGCAAAGGCAGTGCTCTGTAACGAAAATGAACGGATTGCACGCCCCTGCATAACCCCAACTTTTCTGCAGTCTTTGCAGGCTGCGGCCTTCACAGGAAAGCCTCAACTCGCCAATTCCAAACTCACACACACCAAGCAGATCATGTGCATATCCACAGCACATCCCATTCCCCCCTCCAATTGAACAGAACAGAACAGAACAAAAAGAAAGAAACGAAGCCATTGTGTTGCTATTAATGCTGGTTGACAAAAGTTACAAGATGTGCATCTGGTTCTCACCCAGTGCACAAACTGGTTGCCTGACCCATTGCTTGGCCACAAGCACTGTATTTAGGCAAGCATGAAGCTCATTTGTCATATCGACCAGGTGACAATGCTGGTCATCTGGCTCACTGCATGGCTGCAAACATAAGCAAGCCAATGCAGTATGCTGAGTGCACAGCATTCAGTTCTGCTTTACCCTGAACATGAAGCTGCTGTTGAGCTTGCTGAATGGCCATGCATATTGTTCAATCAAAGGCATGGACTTCCTTCTCACCCTGTATACAATAAGTGGCCAAGGTAGAACAATAGTTCAAGGCACAAAATTGGAGCCTATTGCTCACCCTGGGCACAAAGCCGGCTGTCTGGCTCACGGCATGGCTGACCACATGGTCCTTTGTATCTTCCTGGCAGTTCAGGTAGCTTTGCAGCATCAAATTTCGACCTGCAGCATCGGGAGGCTCAACCTTCAGCTCGTGGGTGAAGCATCGGCGAAGGGGCCCTCCAACACTGTCTTCAGTACAGCTGGCCATCAAAATGGTCGACCTGTGCAGCAATGGTGGTGTCATCATTAAAGTTAAGTTCACAAGCACCACCTGGGTGGCACATGTGCACACAAAATGGCCCCAACAGTCCAAACTATCATGCACTTCTGTTGCAAGATCGATGTGGCAAGGTTGAATCATCAAGTTGCCACGCGATCCCTGCAAACACCCACTGCAGTGCAGTAATATGGCAGATGATGCGATCATCTCTTGCAAAAAGGTGCAAGCTGCTCTTGGCATTCTCCTTTTGATACCGAGATGTGGCTCACCACCTGGAAATTTTCACCTTATTTATTGTTCCTGTCACAACACATCCTGAATTTGGAAGAAAGATTTGGTCGCTGTCCATACGATACCCTCCATCTCCCTGCCGTTGCGCTTGCTCTGCCAGGTATAGCTGTCACAAACAATAGTATGTGTTCCAAGCCAAACTTACAAGAACTAGCAATTCCATTGGCATTTGCAATGCCATCGTTGCAGAATGCTTTCCAACAATCGCAAACCTGCACAAATGATGTAACACAAGCTGCTGAAACAGCTGGCCATAAAATCGAGTATATGCCAAAGTGAAGGGCACAGCTACGGTCTCATGGTTTGCCGCCTGGCAATAGAGTGAGGTTTTTCACAGAGCAAAGCAACAGTGTGGACATGTCACTATCGGGGGCACATCCAAACATGTCAACTGCAGATGCAGGGTGCAGGGGTGGCTGCCATAAACCTCTGACAGGACATCTCTGAAATCTCTGAGCCCCGAGGGGGTCCTGAGTTCCTGCATTTCTTGGTATAACAGTCATCACTGCAATGAAAGCATGAACATTTCCTCGCACATAACTCTGACCACAGAGCCAAGCACATCGTGCCAACCCACGGCTCACTTGCGGTCTGGCCTCATTCCAGGCTGCACACTGCCTTTATTGCATCCGGAAGCAATACAGTTGCGGAGGGCTGATACAAACGCTGGCGATCCACCCTTCTGTCCTTGGTCCGTCTGGGCACCCATCACCTCCAAATGCCTTAGAAGCAAGATACAAGGGGAAAACTGGGAGGCTTGGTCGAACACAGCATGCAGGCAGGCACCAGTTGCCTCATCGTCGGATCCCTGCACTACACACACAGGTCTCCTGTCAGCAGGCTGCACGTGACCTTTCATTCCAACCAGCACAATCCACACAAGGACATACAGTATGATAAGACAAGAAAGAGAAGGACAATCGTCCCTTGGCTGCGTTTCTGCATCGAGTCAAGCAAGACACTTAATATGGTATGTGTATTGTAATCGGCCACCTTCAAACAGCAACAAAAGAAATGGACTGATGATGGACTGGTGATTCTTGTATCCACATGGAGTGAACCAACAGTCCACCTTCTGTCCCATGCTTGACCGTCCAGGGCACACAATACAGCAACATCCTGCCTGGCCATGTCCAGCCTTTCAACTTGTATCAGCTCTAACAGAGTCTCAGCAACTGCAGATCAGTGACAGAACGCCAGTTGTGTAGAGTGTGCTGGCCATGGTTCAGTCAGTGGGCTGTGAATGAGGCCTGTTACCAATGTACGCATACAACTGGGGAGCTGTTTTGGCACCTGTGCCAATCTGTATTTAGACAAATGACAGAAACAACAGCTGTCAGGCGAGAATTGAAACTTGAGGCAATGCAGGCTGCATGGCAGCAATGCACAGCGTGCCATCATACGTGCACAGAAGAAAAATAGAGACTTGTCAATTATAAGGCAAATGCATGCGCTTAACATCAAGGTACTCAATCACGTTGTGGACGCCAAACCATTCAGATGTCCAAAAGAGGCGTGACATTGCCCCTGCACCAATTCAGTGAGGCACGACACAGCTCTGCATTAGCCTGCCATTCAATGCAGCAACTGTGTGCATTACATATGTGCACTATTTCAATAGATCCCAGCTGGGCTGCTGGAAGCTGCCGATCTCTGTGCACTATTCATGCCATCGCTACCATGTTCACCCTGTCACCTTGATGTCATGACAGCTCAAACTAATAAGGTGCAGCCCAAGAGCCTCGGCAGCAGCCGCCACAGCTGTCCTCCTGCCTGAGCCTTCTGCACCGATGAGCAGCGCTGACACACGAAACTCCATTGAAGTCACCGCAGTGTGCACCAATGGGGCCACAAGGGCAGCAACCTGCCGCCAAACAGGCAGAACTGGGCCTGTGCCTGACAGGTGAGGCTCTACGTGCCAAGAGGCGTTGGCTGCCCATCCCAGGGATTTGACTGACTGGGGTTGAAGGAGCGGGCCTGCAGGCATCTGTGTGCTGCCCTTTGCTTCTTCTGCATTGACAAAGGAAATCATCAACCAACACCTTTGCCACTAGGAAATGCCAGCTGGAGGGCAAGCAGCGGTTCTTGACATTAAAATACAATCAACACACTTTGATGAGAGAATGCACAGCAGGTATCTGCATCTGGTGGCGTGTCTTTGGTATACAGGGGTGTTGCGCAGGGCAGCAAAATGCAACTCAACCCAATATTGTGACCATGTGTACTCACAACATCGTACATGTGCAATCATCCCTTGATTATCATCAACATAATTTTCTTATTTATAGTGTGTCTTTATATGGCAGCCTTGACACTGGGGTACTCTACTGGAACATGCAACAGCAGCCAAGCACATGGACTGCCCAAGTGCTGGGATTGGAGCACTTCAGCATGTAACAGCACCTCAGTGTTGTGCTCATTCACTGACAAAGACGTGACTTCTTGCCCCACAGCAAATGGGTGAAAGTGATCAGTGCAACCTGGACCACAAAATGCCATCTGAACATCACACAATCACGTTGACTCTGTGACTTCTCCAAACTGCAGCCATACGCGCAAAGATTCTTTTGTCAATCCTGAAGCCCTGCCCCAGCCCACAACAAGACAACACAAGACAATGGGCAACAGTCTATACCAGCTTAAAAGCACATATTCCCCTCGTCATTGTGGTCATCTCATGCACTTACCAGCCTCCACTGTGTCAGCAGAGTGTGACAAGCATTCCTCAGCAAGGCTGTAGCCTTTGAGCCCAACAGGTACTGCACTGTTGCAAGCTCCTCCCTGACCATGGCATATAATCATCAATGTCAGTAGCTGTGCCAACAGATAGCAAGATGCTCATGCCTTACCTGGTATGAGCAGCAGACAACCACACTTGAGGATGCGCAGACCTGGATGATGGCAACAATAGATGGATACAACAACAGATTGTCTGCAATTTCTAATGCCGGCGTCAGGGAGTCACCTGAAGTGCCAGTCTTGTCTGCTCAGGATCGACAAGCAGTGACCCATCAACTGGTGGCTCCGCCATAACAACCTTAAAATACACAAAGTCCCTAGTCCTGGGGTACATTCCTTCCACATCTGGGACAAATTGATCCCAAGGGCAGTCCGGTAGACCAGGCCTCCTGCACCAAACACCAAAGACGTCTCCCACCGCCAGCAACCTGTTGACAGGCAAGAATGCGTGACAATCCTTTCAGAGCATTCGATGCAACAAAAGCGGCTTGCATCTCCTACGATTGGCACACCCATTCTCAGCAAGCACTTTGCGAGACTCTTTTGCATGCTATGAACAAAGGCACACCAGGCCAACATAACCTGCCTATTCACAGGTGCAGGAAGCTCCCTGTTAGGAGGCACGAGTACACACATAACACTGTGCTGATTTTGCAATATGAGGACACACAGCATCAACGCAAATCAAAGTGTCATTTAGTTCTCCTGCACAGGGCCACTGGCCTCAACCTGCAAATATGCCAATGGACATAAGGGCTCAAAACAACAAGGCACACCCCCTTGCAAAAAGCCTGCAATTAACACAGTGCTGTGATGGCACAAATAGCTATGACGTTATGCAGTTGTTAAAAGCTGGCAAAGAGCACAGTGCAACGGGGAAACTGTTGCACAGACTTCACCCGACTCGTGTACAGAATATGTTTTTTCTATTTAATCTGCAACCATTGCAGCTTTTACGCAGTGGCCTATTCCACCCATAAATAGAACGTCCAGTGAAGGGAATCTTAAAAGATGGATTCCTGGGCCAAACCGACTGTAACCAGCTACCTTGGTGCCTGTGTGAAGAATTCTTTCAGTGCAGCCAGGAATGCTTCCTCAGTTTCTTGGCTTGCCTTTGCAGAGGTCGCTTTGTGGCTCAATTCTTCCACCCCAGGGCTTTGAGTGCTGCCTCCCTGTTCCCTGCTGTGCAGTTTCGAGGAACGCACAGCAGGAACTCGCACCTTTTGAAGTGACAATGCACGTGCCAAGCGAACGTCATTGGTAACACCTGTGCCAATCACACAAGCATCTGTTGCATGTGGTTGATTTCAGTCCATTGTTCAGTCGATGGTCTCATCAGGTATTGGCAATCCAGTAGGATCGCATAAACTTCCGTCTAAGTTATGCAGGAAAGCTTCATGCATGCCTGGACATTTGCTTTGCCTTTCGTTCCTGATGTTAGGTTCAAAATCAGGGAGATGAGCCAGGCAGCACAACCACCAATAAGTCCATTGCATCTTGCGACCCTGGGTGATAACGTGCATAGGGAATTGAGTATATTTTTGTTGGCTTCGCTGCCGCTATCCATATAATGTTAGCACATTTGTGCCTCATCAAGGGAACGAATTCCACATTCACCACCGTACACCACCATTCACCACCATTTACACCCTCTCCCAGTGGTAGAGTACTGACAGTGTCTCTGCAGCACAACCACAGTAGGAAAAATATTCGCAGCAATGACAGCAGGTGCACAGAGCTCTGCTAACACAGTAAGGATGGATGCGGAGTGCTCAGTTCACAACTGAATGTGAACAGGCAGATACATCTGGATGCATCAGAATACAGTATACAGCAGAACATTAAGTCCACTCCAAATCGGCAAGTTGAAACAGTTTTGCTGCTCACCATAGAAGCATCGCTTGAATGCACAATAAACCCCAGCCCCCCAACACTAAGGATACTCAACAGTCCTCCACCTTCTCCCTCCCACCCCCACGCCTGTGTGCATGTTTTTTGCCTTTCGTGTTGCTTGAGTTGGGTGGTCGAAATCTCGCTCTGGGAGACTCTGCATCATCTTTTCTCAGCCAGCAAAAGAGCCTAACGTAAGCTTGCTTAAGAGGGGGTGCCCTTGTATGATTCGTTCCACCCGTGGAGTGCAACAAATCTTGGCCCCTACCCCACCCCACCACCGCACACACAACCACCACACCACAGATTCTCGCAGTTCGCTCGAGGAGGACCGTCACCTGAAGCCGCGAGCCTGGCAGCGTCCTTCTCCGACGAGGGCAACACGACCACCTCGATATCCTCCGGGTCCGCCGGCCGCTCCCCCTCTTCCCGCGCCCTCCCCAGGAACGGCGCCAGATGGGCATTCAGGCCCAGATTAAAACTCAGCGAGGGCGCCAGCCACGCGAAGCCCGGGCCAACCCCCCTCTCCCCGCCGGACACCCACCACATCTCGCCAATCCCATGCCGATCCGCCTCCACGATCCGCGCGACGCGACTGGGGGCCCGGCCCCCCAGAGCCGACACTCTCGCCAGCGAGCCCGAAACAATCCTGTGCCTCTTCATCGTCTCGGCGCAGATCCCGATCTCCGCGAAGGCGTCGCGCAGGCGCCACCAGCGCCGTGGCGCGCCACTTGGCGCGGGGCAGGGGACGTCCAGCAGGGCGGCATGGAGGATGATGGGCGGCGCGGCCGGCGAGGGGCCACAGAGGGACAGGCGTGTCTGCCAGTGGGCCAGCAGGCCGCCGCCCGAGGCCCACTCGCCGCTACCGCCTGCTCCGCCCTGCTGGCCTGCCCACGCCGCCATCCTTCGCAACCCGGTACGTGCGCCTTCCCATTGGCCCCCTTGGAGCCATATTCCATTCAGCAGACAGCAGGCAGCCCCTGAAATTGGGAGAATAATGTACTGGTCTCTCTGTCTTTTCCGTCAATATCCGTCCGCTGACAAGGCCAACGTGGGTCCGTGGTTTTTTAGGGTTTAGCGTGTAGAAACAAGAAGAGATCTTCACGGAAAAGGCAGAGCGACTAATTTCATGCCTGAGATTGGTCGCTCTTTCTTTTTCGTCGTTGTATGTGGGTGTGTCAGTTGTGTCCCTGTGCCACAGGGCCTGTGGGGATGAAGCTTTGAGATGATACAGAGGAACGAACAAAGCATAGTTGAGAACGAATGAGAATGGGGTGCCTATAGGTGCCTAACTAACTAGCTAGTTAATGAGGTAGTTGGAGGGAACTACGGTAGAGGTTGTAGAGGAGGGAGTGAGGGAGATGGGTGGCGGGTAGGGACCCTAGGAATGTCGGCAAGCGGACGGGTGCAGTGGTATTAGTTGTGGGATGGGAACGAACGGGGGAAGGTCAAGGGATTTTATTGGAGATTGGTCAAGCCAGAATGGCTGGGGCGGCCGGTGGAATGTTCTGTTGAGTTGGCGGCCTTCGGACAGACTGGCCTGCCAGATTCCATGCAAAACGCATGAGGTAGTCAGCATGTACAAAACAACACTGTGCGTAACGAGCAATGGGGTTCAGCCGGAGCCACGGACGGGGAAGGCAAGGTGTAACCTGCTGTGAGACTGCGCCACTGGGCACCCTCGGAGGGGCCGGCCAGCTGTGCTGCAATCCATTTGCACCGGCCTAACAGTCCCATCGACCAATGACTCATCCCCCAGGCTCGACACCCTCGGGGGAAGGGGGCCCGAGCCGGCTGCTTCTTTCTTGCCGACGTCCGGGTGGTCGCATGAAAGGGATGAGCAGGCCAGAACAGCAGCAAAGTGGGCCCTGCTGCCTCCGCGTGAGCCTGGTCTGGCGCCACGCCACCACAGCGGTGCGTGCCGTGAAGGCTTCCTGCCTGACGTTTTGGAGTCGTCGCTAGAAATTCGTGCATGGACAAGGCGAGGTCACTGCAGCCGCAAGTCTGTGGCAGAAGTTTTGCTGCCTTCTTCTCCAGGCGCGGACTTGGCCGTGGGCAGGGCCAGAGACGCTTCACAGGCGGCTAGTGATGTGGATTTTCTGAACTCACACCGTGGCAGCGCACGCATTGAATGGCCATCGATTCTGAATGGGGTTCGTTGCGCTTTCCATGGACGACGCAGCGCCAGGATACCCAATGTTGGGGGCTCTCTTTCGGAGGAATTCCGTTGTCCGCTTGCTGCAGCAGCTGATTTCGCCCTTCAACTGGTCGCGGCAAAGTGTTGGGATGCACAGTACAGACACAGACGCGATTTGTACGTCTTGTGTGCATTACACGGATACGGTTACCACATGGAGCCCCCTGAACAAATTTTTGAACCAGCATCAGCTCATCCTGGCTTCTTGCCATTTCAATTTCGTACCAAGTGCGCTGTATCTCTTGTGGCAGCCCGCCACCATGGTGGCCGCAGCACCTGTCTATTGCTTGGTGTGGTTGGTTTCTGGTTCGCTCTCTTGAGTGCTTTTGCAGGGAAACGCGTTTGGGGGGGGCCCAGCTCCCCATGGGGCAGGGCATTCTTGTAAGTGTGTGCTGGGGCTACCGATCCCAAGGCGAGCGAGGACGATACTTGCCATAGGCGGCAGATCGTCTTTGTCGATGGGCTGCCTGTTCCGGCCATCCCGTTTAGGTTGGTCGAGGGTGGAGACTTGGCGGCTGTGCATAGGTCTGGGGGAGGCGGGGGCCGCTCTTGGTTTTGAACTCAGCATTTGCGGCCGGTGGGGCGATCAGCGCCTGGATCAATCGCACAGGCGGCGTCCCGGCCAAATGCCACGTCACAGTGCCAATTTGATGGGCGACCCCCCTCCCTCCGGACTCTATATAGCACTACCCCGGGTTTAACCAATTCAATAATATGAAGCCAATCGCATCGACAACTGCGCCGTCTTGCTGCCCTGCAGGACTGGTGCTGATTTACATAACGCATTTGGCAAAGTACGTCGAGGAGGCGTTTGCCCTGGATCGAATCAAGGGCAGGCGGCGTTGTGTAGCCATGGCTGCACACAGATGAGCAAGGAAATCGTGCAACTGCAGAACAAGCTCTGCATGCAGTTTGTTGTTTGTATCTTTGGTTGATACACTGATTCGCCAACGTGCGATGTATGGCTTGACTCTGTGCAGCTTCACAAACAAATTCAACGTCAGTTCGGGTCAGATGCTGAATGTGGGCAACCCTTTGCCACTATTTGTTGCATTGTCAGCTCTCCTCCCGCTGTGTCAAGGCAGCAGTCAGTCTTCATTTCTGCAGCATTCCCCCATGACGGCAAAGGGACAACTGCGGATCCAAGAAGAGGGCCTTGTTGGCCTCTTCATGATCTGCCATCCAAAGGATCAAGCAGCAAACGTTGTCGCTGCGCCACACAGCACTCTGCTGCCGCCGTTATATACCTCTCTAATTCTGCACTTTCGCTTTTGCTGTAAAATAG